AGGGGTCCACCAGGATGAGGTGCTTCACCCTCTCAGGGTACGCCAGGCTGTAGGAGGCCGCCAGGAAGCCCCCCAGGCTGTGCCCCAACAGGATCATGGCACCGATGCCCATCTGCCGGCGCATATGCATCCGAAGAAGTGGGCTGTAGTCCACGAAAGCTTATGCTCTAATAAATTTGTTAGTCTCTAAGGTGCCACAAGTACTCCTGTTCTTCTTTTTGCAAAAAAAACAACGGGTTTCAGAGTAGCAGCCGTGTTAGTCTGTATCCGCAAAAAGAACAGGGGTACTTGTGGCACCTTAGAGACTAACAAATTTATCAGAGCATAAGCTTTCGTGGACTACAGCCGAAGAAGTGGGCTGTAGTCCACGAAAGCTTATGCTCTAATAAATTTGTTAGTCTCTAAGGTGCCACAAGTACTCCTGTTCTTTTTGCAAAAAAACAACAACAACCTTGCAAAGCTGAAGAGCCGTATAATCCTTCCTTATCTGGTTCAGGAGGACATAATTAAGGTGGAGTGGAAATTACCTAGCAAGTCCTTCTTGTGCCTAAGGATTAAAGGTCTTCATTACTCTGCATAATGTTAAGCCTGCTGTGGCCTCATTAGTGAAGGGGAAAATAATACTAGCTGAGGGAGTATTTCTGCCATACTCACAGACAGGAGAATAAGATCTCTCAGACTAAATTTGGAGACATCAGCCTCAGCCCTTAAACTATTGGCTGTAATCTCTTATTGTGGAATTTGTGCTCAACTGGGATGTCATTGTGAGTGTGAGCAAAAAACCTAAAAGTAAAATACAGCAACAACAAAACCACTACACACAATCTACTTTAAACTGGATCTCACTAGCAATTTTCAGGCTGATGCTTCACCTGGCTCTGAGTTGCTGTACATTCAAAAACTTCCAAAGATGTGTCCTGGAAGTCAACTATAGCTCTGCTTGAAGAAACTGGAATTGCAGGCTCACAGCTGATATCCTTCTAAACATTTGTGCTTATTTGCTCTTGGGGGGAACAGAGACAAAGCCATCACTGAGACTTTAGACAAGGGAACAATTCCCTCCCACTAGTGAGAGAACTGTTGAGCTCCCTTATCTCAGCATGTGTTCCCTTTGAAACTGTGGCTTCTCCAGGGTCTGGCATAGAGATTACACATTAGGAAGAGGCCACTGCCATCTAGGGAGTTGGCAGAACAAGGCTGGGATTCTCTGAAAACCCTGTACAACTCCTAAAGCTCTGTGGAAAAAAAAGCAGTGATTTTTGTGGGCAGAGAGATCACACGCATTTTATGAGGCAGTCTGAAAGGCTCCTACAGGCTCTTCCATCCACACTTTTTCAAATGCTTGGGAGTAGATATCCTCACCCCTGCTGAAGCAGCCTTTGGTAGAAGGGTGTTATGGAACAGAGTGCTTCAGTAAGTCTATAGTTCGTGTTCAGTTCTACATGGTTGTGACACTCTGTACCTCAAAGTAGCACCCTGAAACCCCCATATTCACCTTTGTGATATGATTATATGTTTTGTGCAAAGTATGCCTTGTGGGGTATCATTTTGTAAGGTCCTGATTTGTTGAACCATAATATCCTGTTGGATTGTATGTGCTTATCATTGTATGGGAAGTTATGAGGTACTGCTATATATATGTTACTGACATATGTTGTGAGGTTGGGAACACCCACCACCAGCCATTCAGTTACAACAAAAGAGTAGCCATCACTGGTCAGATGATCGTTAATGGCTCATTAACACCCAATCTACTATCCCCAGGGCCTGCTCTAGGTTTTTTGTCGCCCCAAGCAAAAAAAATTTTTGATAGCCCCCACCCCAGCCCTGGGCTCTCACCCTGCCCCACGAGTGCCCTCTCCCACCCGCACCCCCTGCTGCCCCAGCCCTCGGCTCTCTCTTCCCCCTCCCACCTGCACCCCCTGCAGCCCCAACCCTGGGCTCTCCCCCCGACCCGAACCCAACCCCACCCCCTGCTGCCCCAGCTCTGGGCTCCCCCCCCCCAGTGTTGACTCCGTCCACTCCCCCCTCGCCTCCAGCTGGTCCGGCGCTGGCAGGGTCAGGGTAAGCAGCGGGGCTCCCGGGCCGCGCCTCAACCCAGGGTCCCCTCCAGCCAGGGCTCCCGCCTCCAGGAGCGGCCAGGACCCAGGAGGGCAGAGCCGGGGGACTGCCCCGACAGGGGGCTGAAGAGCTGGGGCAGGGCAGCCCCAGAGGCAGCGGAGCCCCGGAGAGTGGGACGCAGGCCCCGCACAGCAGCACCCCAGCCTCTATGGCCCCGCTGGTGCTGCTTCTTCTGGCCGCCCTGTTGCAGTCCCTGGGCGGCTCGGGCTGCTTTGCCCAGCCCCGGCTGCGGCGCTGGGGGGCGGCCGCCCTGCGGCACCTGCAGGCGGCCCCGTGTGCCCTGCGGGGCGGCCCCCAGCCCGAGTGTCCCGCGCTCGCAGCCTGCCCGACCCAGCCACAAGGTGTGGGCGCTGCTCCCCCACAGCGCGAACTGCAGCGGCCCCAAGGCTCCCCCCACACATGATGCGCTGCTGCTGCCAGGGCCGGCTCTAGGCTTTTGCCGCCCAAAGCAAAAAACCCCAAAAACGA